ATAGTATAAATCAACATAAATAAAACTCATTTTCCAGATTTTGTCCTTTACTGTGCTTTTTAAAATCTTCTGGAGTAAGCTGTCAATTCAGTTTAAAACAAAATGAGCCTTCCCCAGGGCCCCTGAGACCTTCTCATGGGGTATATGAGGTAAAATAACTTTATTATTACACTAAGAATTATTTACTTTAGCATAATACATTCAAACAAATATTTAATTTTTTTCTTGGTTTTAAGTTTTAATATGGCAAATTTCAATAGTTATAACCCATATAATCGTAAGTCTTTGAGATTGTCAATAATTTTTTAAGAATTTAAAGGGGCCATAGACCAAAATTTTGAGAGCTACTCCTTTGAGGGAAAAACTACTTTTTTTTTTCCTTGAAAAAAGCGCATATAGTTTATATTTCTCTGTCAATATTACTTCTCCTGTAGGGGCACTTGGATGGCTGAGTTGATTAAGCTTCTGCCTTTGGGTCATAATCTCAGAGTTTGGGGATTGAGCCCCATGACCCACTCCTTGTTCAGTGGGGAGTCTGTCTCTGCCTCTTCCCCTGCTCATGCTCGCTCTTTCTCTTTTTCTCTTTCAAATGAATAAATAAAAATTTTAAAAAAATATTACTTCTGGTAGTCTCAACTACTCATGTTAAATATAACTTAGAATCATAGTTTTTCTTTTTCATAGAAGAAACTGGAGGCAGGACTGAACATTTGAGAGATGTTAGACACAAAACATTGTAGCTATTAGAGCCCATGAACTTTTTATACTACTTTCTGTGGCACATTTTGTTAAAACATAAAAGTGTAAAGTGTTAAATTGGCAAAAATGATCATGTTCGTTAACATTACTGAAAGATACTGCATATGAGAAATAGGCAAAAGAATGTAAACTCAAATTTAATAATTAATGTGAGAACTCTGTGTTCATTGATAATTTACTCAATATAGTCTGCTGTTTTAAGTTACCTAAAGCTAAGGACCTTGGAAATTATCTTCCAAATTATGCAAAAGGTAAATACTGTTTAATAATGAATCAGTTTATTTAAACATAGATTTACTTTTTTATACTCTTAAACGTTATAGAGAATATTAGGTTATTTTAGTTGCAAACCTATATATGCTTAGAAAAACTCAAGGTGTCTGTACTATACTTAACACTGATAAATCAGAGAAGAGATAGGGCTATCTTTTTAAACCAAAGTTATTAAATTACTCTTGAGTTTATCAAAGATTCAACTTACATGTACTTGGAATCTTAAGTGTTTCAGATTTAGTTCCTGTAGGAAGAATTTTTATCAAAACATTTAATACAGTAAAAGTTTTAGGAATTCAATTTCTTTATTTTCTGGAAATTTTAGGAATGCTTACCTCTATAAATTATTGTTATATATTATTTAACTCAACAAACCAAATTAGAATTTATTTAATAGAACTTTAAGAGACTTTTCTAAAGAGGCTCTAAGAGACTTTAGCATTTTTCCTAGTTCTGCTTTTCCCCGTTCCATTATATTCTTCACATTAATTAGATAATACTAGATCTTATTCCATCATCTGTATTTATTAACCTTATTTTCATATTTTCCACTTGTTCTGTGCTGCATTCTAGATAGTCTGGGTAGTTCTTCAGATTTACCTTCACTTTTACAGAAACAGATACTTGTATAATGTGTGTATAGTTCTTTGCCATTTTGCTTCATGGTTGGTAGACTTATGTCATTAGCACCAACATCAAGATACAGAACTACTACATCACCACACGGATACTCCTTGTGCTGTTTTTGTAGTCAGACCTGCCATTCCTACCCTTACTCCCATTTCTATCCCCTCAAAACAACTAATCTCTTTTCCATTTTTGTAATATTATAATTTCAAAGATGCTATATAAATGGGAGTCATACATTTGTGACCTTTGAAATAGGCTTTTCCCTTTCATTATAATGCCCTTAAGTTCATCCAGGTTTTTGTGTGTATCAAAAGTAGATTTCTTTGTATTGCTGAGAAGTATTCCATGGCATGGATGTACTTGTATTTTTTTTTTTTTTAGCCACTCTGCCAATTTTTTGCCTTTTAATTGTTAAATTTATACCATTTACATTCAGTGCACACTTATTAGAGGTTAGGACTTAACCATTTCATTTTTATTTTCTTTTTGTTCCTTCTGTTTTTCTTTTTTTCCCCCTTTTTCTGTCTTGAACATTTTTTAGAATTCAGTTTTGATTTTCCTTTGTTTTTTTTTTTTTTAGTTTTGGAGTATATCTTGGCATAGCTTTGTTAGTGATTGAGGCATTGCATTACACATTCATAATTTATAACAGTGTGTCAGTACTGATGTCAGTATCTTACTAGTTTGAAATGTAGAAACTTTACCTCCTTTTATGGCTTTTCATATTCTCCCATGTATTTTATTCATGGGATAAAGTGAATATTCATCATGAGAAGTGTACCCTTTAATCCCCATTACCTGTTTAATCTGTCCTCCCACCTATCTCCCCTCTGGTAACCATCAGTTTGTTCTTTATAGTTCAGAGTCTTTCTTGATTTGTGTCTCTCTCTTTTTCCTTTGTTTTGTTTCTTAAATTCCACATATGAGTGAGATCCCATGGTATTTATCTTTCTCTGACTGATTTTGCTTAGCTTTATAGTTACTAGCTCCATCCATGTTGTTGCAAATGGCAAGATTTCATTCTTTTTTTATAGCTAAATATTCCATGATGTGTGTGTGTGTACACACATACACACGCGCACACACACACCCCACATCATCTTTATCCATTCGTCAATTGATGGACACTTGGGCTACTTCCAGAATTTGGTTATTGTAAATAATGCTTCAGTAAGCATACGGGTGCATGTATCCTTTTCAATGACCGTTTTTGTATTTTTTGGGTGAATACTCGGTAGTGCAACTTTTGGATTGTAGGGTGGTCCTATTGTTAATTTTTTGAGAAACCCTCATACTATTTTCTACAGTGGCTACACCAGTTTGCATTCCCACCAACAATGTAAGAAGGTTCCTTTTTCTCCACATCCTTGCCAAGACTTGTTGATTGTTTTATTTTAGCCATTCTGACAGGGGTGAGGCTTTTTAAAGAGGCTTTAAGAGACTTTATAATTTAATTTGTTAATATTATCCATAAGGTATTAACATAATGATTACACATGATAAAAAAGCCCTTTCTAAGTTACACATGCATAAAGAGCTTATAGCTTCAGTCCTACCACTTCAGCCACAGTTCAAGAATTCACACAAATATGGGATTCCTGAGTTACTCAGCTCAGCGCGTGGGCATCTGCCTTTGGCTCAGGGCATAATCCTGGAGTCCCAGGATTGAGTCCCACATTGGGCTACCTGCATGGAGCCTGCTTCTCCCTCTGCCTATGTCTCTGCCTCTCTCTCTCTCTCTCTCTGTATCTTTCATGAATAAATAAATAAAATCTTTAAAAAAAAAAGAATTCACACAAATACAAAAAATTACAATCTAGCAGAATTCTTTTTAGATTTTTATTGATTTTATTTAGATCACAGTGGGCTAATAGAGACTAACAAAATGTATTCTTTATCACTTTTCACCCAACAGAATAGAGAATTAAAATTCATCAATTTATAGAGATCACTGAATGATCTAATCATAAAGCAAAATTTGCAGTTATTGCTGACACCAATGATAGTATGGCTTATTGTCTGAACTAGAACAAATACAAAATCAATAGGAAAAATTTTAGAGCAAGAGAGACAAAGTTAAATTTTTATTGCCACTTGGGGTTCATATTGAGAACCAGAAAAAGAGAACAGGGCTTAAGCTGCTCAAGAGTGTTATGTACTTTGTACTTGGCTCTTTTTGTTTTTGTTTTCTATTTAGCACATCAAGAACATCTGTACCTCAGAACCTTTATATTTTTCCTTCCCTATGCCTTGTAATGTGCTTCCCCAGTTATCTCAGGAGTTTGTTATTTTATTCTTATTTATACTCAGATATCATCTATAAGGGTATATCTGAAGTAACTCTCTTGAGACTCTTTATCCTTGTGGGTTTTTTTTTTCCTTTTTAGGACTTAATGTGTAACATTAGTTTATTATTTGGTTCTTCACAATGAGAGCCAGGGCTTTATTTTATTGCAGTATTTCCAACACCTGGAATATAGTGATTGACATCTCTTACGCACTATATATTTGTTGAATAAATGAAGCCAACTTATAGGGAGATGGGGGAGAGGGATTATGAACAGTAATACAATCTTCTTTCCATTTCTGTAAATTATCCTCTTTCCTCTCTAACATAGGGAAATGTGTGAAATAATCTCTGTGGCCTAATAATTTTCTTAATATATGATACTTTGAATTAAGAGAGAATGTTGGAACATAGAATATTGTAGAATATGTCAACCCTAGGTTGGATGCCTTATGAATACCTAGGGCAATCAAGGCAAAATGAATGATTTGATTATCTTGGGAGTTAAGGAGCAAAGGCATTTATTGAACTAGAGAGGGAAATTAAGGTCTTGAGATGAATTTGTAACTGTTTAGAGTTGGCAGATAGATACCATTTATGTTGCCCTAAGTCTCTACCATGGTGTTGGCCTGGGAGGGCAATAGGCAAGCTAATTTTCTTTTTTGCCTCTAAAGTAGGAGAATAGTCCTTGATTCTTTAACTTTGACATTCATTCATTCAGGAAATATTTAACTTTCGGGGCACCTGGGCGGCTCAGTGGTTGAGTGTCTGCCTTTGACTCAGGTCATGATCCCAGGATCCTGGGATCAAATTCTGCATCTGGCTCCCCGCAGGAAGTTTGCTTCTGCCTTTGCTATGTCTCTGCCTCTCTCTGTGTGTCTCTCAGGAATAAATAAATAAATAAAATCTTAAAAAAAAAAAAAAGAAAGAAATCCTGGTCTTGGGAATACAGTGGTCAATGAGATCATTTCCTATTAACACCTCCCTGCCTTCTTTTCTTTTCCCTAATTTTGTAGTTTGAATGTTAATCATTGTTATCATTGTTTTGTAGGTGATGAAAGAACTATGGTTTTTGTTGAGACTAAGAAAAAAGCAGATTTTATTGCTACTTTTCTTTGTCAAGAAAAAATATCAACAACAAGTATTCATGGGTGAGTAGATTAATAGGATTTCACAGTAGGGAGGACACTTGCATTTCTCATTTGTTAAGAAATACCAGTGTATATAACTAACATCACATAATCCTAGGATTAGGATTCAGAGTTCTCAAGATCCAAACTGTTATTTTTTGTTTTGAGTTTTTACAAGAGTTAGGTGTTAGGAGTAGGTGAGTTAAAGGTCTGTGTTAGACTCCTCATTATGAGGACTGGTAACTACTCAGAGTTCGCTTAAGGCTCTCTGATCCTTTGATCTAAGTTGTTCTGAATCCAGTCTTTCTCTTGCTTGACAATTTTTTTTATTGAGTTGCATGAAAATGTCATATTAATACAACTTTATTGGTGCTTTACTGGTAGATCTAAAATATTAATCTGAGATTATATGTTAAAAATTTTTGAGGAGATATTCTAATCAAATAGTTATATATTATTTGTCAGGACGAGAAAGAGATTATTAATAGATTTGATGTTTATCATACTGAAGTCTGTGTTTTAGCTCTATGTACTACCTGTTACCTTACTTCCATATGCAAATAGGGATAACTGTTCCACCCTCAAAGTATTGTAAGAATGAAATGATGGCTTGAAAAGAATTAGTATAACTAGTATGTAAGAAATAGATAGTAATGTTAAATGCTGTTATTTTTTACTAAACTATTAAAAATAAATATATATGTTGAACTTCAGTGGTTCACTGTAATAATTTTCTTAAGAGCTGTCCTAACACATGCTTGCTTTTATTTCTAGTGACCGAGAACAGAGAGAGAGAGAGCAAGCTCTTGGAGATTTTCGTTGTGGGAAGTGTCCAGTTCTTGTTGCTACTTCAGTAGCTGCCAGGGGGCTAGATATTGAAAATGTTCAACACGTTATCAATTTTGATCTTCCTTCTACTATTGATGAATATGTTCATCGAATTGGACGTACTGGTCGTTGTGGAAATACTGGCAGAGCTATTTCCTTTTTTGATCCTGAATCAGATAACCATTTGGCACAACCTTTAGTGAAAGTACTGTCAGATGTAAGTTTTAAACGTTTAAAACCAAATGGATAGTATTCTGACCTTATCGTTGAAAGTAGATAATAAATATATTTATGTATATTCAGGATAAGTAAACTGTTCCAATCTTTGAGACTTGCTGCATGTTGTATATGAAGTTAATTTCTTTTTTAAAGGCTCAACAGGATGTTCCTGCATGGTTGGAAGAAATTGCCTTTAGTACATATGTTCCTGGCTTCAGTGGTAGTTCAAGAGGAAATGTATTTGCATCAGTTGATACTAGAAAGGTTAGTTGAGGGGAAAAATTCCAAACTTGGCTTCCAGTTTACTCTTGGTGAATGTGAGTTACTCTTGATTAATAATGTAAAATAACTAACATTCAATAATTATCTAAACCATTTTTTCACATCTAGGAGATTAATATTTCTTAAAATTTTATGTATGTATATATTTTTGGTTGTAAAAGTGAGCAGTTAACAGTATTTATGCTCAAACACCCTTTCCCAAACTTGCTGGCATTTAACATTCTAATTTGGATTCTTTTAAGCCTTCTATTAAGAATTCTTTGTTTTCAGAATTCTGATGGTATTATTAAGACAAAAATACTAGAGATGAGTGTCTTTTTTGATGTGTCATTTTATAGGCAGCACCACTTTTATTCAGAAACATTGAGTCTACTAATCATTAAATATTATGCTTATTTATGAAATACAGAACTTTCAGTTCCATTTGCCAAAACTACTGGTGTAAGAAAGCTTTTTCTTGAAATATTTTGTGCAATTTAGACTTCAGGTTGATATGGGCCTTTTTTCCCCAATGGATTAAATTTAGTGAGAATCAAGTTTTTTTATTATCTATTTGGGGAAAACATGGTGGGAAGCTTGAGTCCCTTCTCTGAGTCTGGGCAATGTAACTTTAGAGATAACATAAAATTAAATGTGTCTTTCTTTTTTCTTTTTAAGAATTACCAGGGCAGGAGCACTTTGAACACAGCAGGGTTTTCTTCTTCACAAGCTCCCAATCCAGTAGACGATGAGTCATGGGATTAAAGCTAAAACATCCTTCAAGTCTGTGGTATAGTTTTGATGCAGAGAAGAAAATAGTTTTGATTTTTGAGTTTTTAACAAGTGTGAAACTTGACACTCTCGTATCTTCTGTTCTTCTGTTCTCCCACCCTTAAAAAAATTCTTACTAGTTATGTGAAATGCTAAAAATTACAACATTGCAGTTACTGATACACATGGTGTTAACTGGAAAGATTAAAGCATTCTAAATGTCTTGCTTATTTCTAGTGCATTCTTCAGGGGTTTTAGACATGTTTCATGTCTAAGTGCTTAATCTTAGTGTGGTGTTTGTTTGACCCTATAACAAGCAGTAAGATTTATGACAAACTTCTTTAGAAATAATTGAGTCTCATTTTTTACTTAAAAGGAGCCTTTAAAGCAATAGTATGTCACTGAAACAAGGTAACATTTTCAGGTAGCAGACGGTGAAAGACATAAGCCTCTTAAGGTGACTTTTATTTTAGATCATTAGATATATAATGCAAATGGAAATGCAATGTGAGCTCTGTACTCAACAACATAACAAATGTTTGTTTTTATTCTATACAGACTTTACTTGAAAATAAAGGATGAAACACGTTTCCCCCCTTAGTTTTCCAACAGTACTTTTAATTTTTCTTTATTGGCATATCATAGATCTGTATTTCGAAATTTTGAGACTTGTAAAACCAATGAAGTGAACAACGTCTTACGTAAATATGTATAGTATACATTACTACACAGATGTAATGGTGAAAATCATTCTTTGAACTCAAACTATATCAACAAAATACAATGCTGTTCACTCTTGCCATAATTAATTTTCTGGTATTTTAAGATTAGTGAAGGAAAGAATCCTTTTTTCATTTACTAGTGTATATCTTACATTCTCGACATACTAAGGTTAAGTAGTTCTTAATAAATCATTAATGAACCGAGGTACGCGTGGGTGGCTCAGCAGTTGAGCATTTGCCTTTGGTTCAGGGCGTGATACTGGAATCCTGGGATTAAGTCCCACATTGGGCTCCCTGCATGGAGCCTGCTTCTCCCTTTGCCTATGTCTCTGCCTCTCTCTCTCTATGTCTCTCATGAATAAATAAATAAAATCTTTTTAAAAATTAACCAAAACATTAAGACATGAAACAAGTGAGATATAAATATTAGGGAGACAAAAGATGATCAATTATCAATGTTTGTTATTGTTAATTAAAAACAATCCAAAACAACATGTCCCCAAAATATATCTTGTTACATGAATTTGGTTAATAAAGGAGGCATCACATATGAAAAGAGAGGATCATTCAACAGATGTTAGGACTAATTAGATGCCTGCCCCAGCCATATTCAAAATCTGTTCCACCTGTATTATTAAACTACAAAAAACATGAAACCTTTGAATTGGGATTGAGAGTTGATTTTAATCTCAAGGGTCAGAAGTCACGAAGGAAAAAACAAATTCAGGCCCAAAAAGGGAATTTATTACAAGGAAAAATATTACTGTGACTATAATGGATTATCCATGTGTAGTTTTTTATATGTGGGTATATAGGAATACCAGTAGAAGAAAGAACACACAAAGAACAGACAACTTCAAAGGGAAGTTCAAGTAATGAAAACACGGGAAATATTTAACTTGTATTTTGTAATCTCAATTCTGGGAAAGGTTAAATGAAGAAAGTGTTTGGGTCGTTACTTGCAGGACCCGTGTGTCTTAATTTTCTCCTCCACTTTGTTTTGTTTATAAAGAATATTTACAGCCCATTTGTCTCCCTCCCCTTTCCCCATTTCTTAAAGAGCTTTTTGGTCATAGCTGCCTAATTACTTATAAAAATTTTTTGAATTTGCATGATATGTCAAATTACCGTAATAGCATTACTGAATCAAATATAAAAAAGGAAAGAACATTGTACCAAATATCATTGTCATTACAAACCAACTGTAAATGTTCCTATGTTCACTTACGTTCTGCATTTCTAGGTACATGTGAATGATTTCTTTAAAAAATACTAAAGTAACAGATATAGGTACGATTAGAAAATAAAATGCCACAGAAGAGTTTATAATAGGAAGTAGTAGTCTGTGTCTCCCTTTCCTAATTGCTCATCCACATCCCACATTCAACAGCCTTTCACCATTTCTGGTAGTTGATATTGTATGTTTTATTTTTGTCTCACCAAATTTAGATTTCTCTCGGCTTTCTATATAATAGGTAAAGATTTAACTTATTCTCACTTCCTTGATAACTTTATTAAAGTTAGAAGTATACTTTATGAGATGATGATAAAAGCACCCTTTCTCCTCTCTTTTACGACTTTTACACTACATCATCTGTAAACTGTACATTTATATTTCCAGAGCTAAAAATGTGCATTCTATTCTATAACCATAAAGTCTCTCTTCTTTTATTTATATGTTGATTCTAAAATTGGAAATCAGTAGAAAGGGTTTACATTACATAAATATTGTTTGCTGAATGGACCAATTAACAGCCTGATTTCCTTTCTTCTACTCACTTATCCAATTTTGTGATCTGTGTTTCCAGAGAATTATAAATGTCAGGGTCAAATGAAAATTGATCATAACCATTCCACATACTAATTTGCTTTAAACTTGCATCATACTCTTTTTGAGTAATTTGTTTACCCTGTAGTTTGTATTTTTTTTCTAGGAGAATAAACACGCTCTTTTTACCTTATTATTACCTTTGCAGGTTCAGTGTTACTGTATTGATCCCAAAAGATCTTGATGTTTTTAAATTTTATGAGTGGACTTTTTAAGTCTGGCTAGTATTTGGTATGTTCAGCAGACCATTCTTTTCTGGTCCTGGAAGTGATTGTATTGTTTGTTTCATAATTTCCCTAAGTTTTCTTCACTCTCTTTATATCTCATATCTTTCATCTTTTTGCTTGTTGAGTTCTGGTAGAATTTTTACTACTTTTTAATCCTCTGATTTTTTAAAAGCAATTATTATTTCCAAGGGCTATCTTCTGTTATTTGAAATGTGAATTTTTTGCTTCGCTTAGGACTTTAAGAATATTTTTTTAATGTTAAGTATTTGTTTTTCCGCTGCTTAGCTTCAGAATCAGAAGTCTTTATCAATTTATAAGTTATAGGTCTCTTGAATGCTAGCCTCATTCAGATTCAGCAATCTGAATTTACATGGAAGCCCTTATTGTCTAAGTGCTCTTTTGTCTCTCTAACTCTACATCAAAGCTTTCTCTCAAGGCATAGGGTTGAGATGTGAATAATGAAGCTTAGTTTCTCTTTCCTAGAGGCTTCTGCATTTTTTAATGAGCCAAAAGCTCTGGACTAAGCCAAAGTAGGAAGCTCAAAATGTGGAATATCAAGCATCCTGGGAAGGTTTGGGAATAATGGTGATGTAATATCAAATAAAGGTGAGGAGAGGTCCTGATTCTACTTAGGGTAGATTTACCTAGGTACATCCCATCTGTTCCTAAGTTCTGGGAGTAGAGGAGTTACGGTTTTTCTGATTTTTTTCAGCATTGATAACATTTCTATGTAGAAATGCAGCAGCACTGGTCAGAAGTTTGCCCCTCCCACCCTACCCTTGACTTTACACTTAACCCAGTTTGCATTGTTTTATTGATCCTCTGATTTGGGAGAAGGCAGCTTTTCATTTTGTTTGGTTTGTATGCTCGTCATAGATTTATTAAATGTGTTGAAAACAGGGCACCTCTCTAGTCTTTGATTGCTGAGCCCCTTTCTTCAGTCGCTTAGCAGCGTGTGGCTGCTATGTGTGTGGTTGGCCGACGCTGCTCCTGCTCACTGACGGCTCGGTTCCTCCACCGTGCCCCACGCCGAACTGCGTGCTTAGAAAAAAAAAAAAAATTAGTAAACATGAGTCCGTGTGGAATCTCACTGTGTCCGAGGCCGCGGCAGGGAGGGCGGGCGCGCTCTCAGATCCGGCCGGGAGAGAGCTGAGCCTGGGCAGTGCGGCGCGGCGGCGGCGGCGGTGGCCGCGGGGAAGCAGATGCCGCCGGCGTCCGGCCTCTGGGGCTGCTCCCGGACTGCCCCCACCGCGGTCCCTCCGCTGCCCCGGACCTGGCGGAGCTCACCCTGCCGCGAGGCCGGGAAGCCAGCCCGCAGGCGCTGGGGCGGAGCGGGAGGTGGGCCCGGGGGATCCCGGGGTCAGCGTGCCCGACCACGGGAATGACGGAGCCCACGTTTGCCCTCGGTCCCAGGGGTCTTGTCAGCCGCTCTGAAGCCCACTCGGGCCCACCGCGGGGGCTCGGAACCGCACACTGACTCCCACCTGGGCAGAGGCGCGCGCCCCTAGCCCGGCCCGGGGAGCTGGGACCCGTGGACGTTGGCAGTCCGAGAGAGCAAACGGACGTCCTCTAGTTTGGGGACAGGTGGGTCAGGTAAATTCCTTAATCTTTTAAGTGATTCTTTAATTGTTTTGCTGTAATTTAGGGGATGATTGCGAATTGTCGCAGCAGAGTATTGGATTTGCGTTTTCTGTGTGAGAATTCCTCTAAGAAATTTTTTTTTCTTTTTTCTTTTTTTTTGGTCTCCATTAGTTAGTGTTTACCGCATTTGGAGTCCAATGTATTTGTGGGATTCTTTTTCACTATTCAGGAACAAAAAACCAGCTTTACTTCTTCTGAATAGATGAACTTATTATCCCAAAGTCTTGGATATTTAAGTTTGATTTTTGTCTTAGTTTTGGGAGGGGAGGTTACCATGTGGGGGATTAAGACATTCTCAACAGAAACCCAAACACTTTATTAAAAAACTTTTATGTATAGGAGGGGAAGCTCCTGTGTAACACGGTGGGCATGATGCTATATAATAAATAACTAGTTGGAGTAAACCTTAACTTTGGCTTTATTGACTTGTGTGATGCCTAGGACAATCGGTGATCTGCTTTAGGCCTTGGTTGGCTTATATATAAAAAGAAGGCAGTAACTGGATTTTTCTCCCTGTTCATCTCCAGCTGATGAAGAAGTCACACAATGCATACAGTACAATATTTTTTTTTTAAAAAAAGAGAGGCAGCCTTGTTTAAGAATGCAGGGTATCATAGCTAAATATTGGTACACTTAAAATGTTCTTATTCTAGTATTGCACTAGCTGCTTTATCAATGTTAAATGAGTAGTTGAGAAACTAGTCAGATCACATTTACAACTATAGTGGCTGAATCTCTTATAAATATCACACGGGCATGAGTGATGCTTGTTAACTGACGATTTTGGCATCTTATTGTGTACCTCATCTGTTATTTTTTTCATCATTCTTAAGATGTTTCATCCCTGGAGATTTATTCATGATTGTTCACATGTGGTAATCAGCCAGTGTGTTCTTGCCAAGTAAATGCAGTGCAGGTTCTGACCGTTTCATCCTAGTATGTTTGTTCTGAATTATTTTACTGTGTTGCAGTCATCTGGAATTCTAGAAGACTTAGTTCCAGTGATTTACTTATATAAATAAACAGAATTATAGAGTATGCCATCCTTTAGTGTTTGGCTTTAGGCCAACATAAAATCTGTGAAATTTATCCATGTTGTGTTTTGTGTATCAGTAGTTCATTCATTTTTTTGTTGTGTAGTATTGTGTCCTGAATATATTACAGAATTGTTTTTCTGATTTCCTATTGATGGGCACTTGGGTTGTTTCTAGTTTTTTTTAATGAATAAAGCTCCTATAAATATTCTTGTACAAGTCTTTTGGTGAACATAAGCACTCAATTGTCCTAGGAGTGAAACTGCTGGGTCATAAGGTAGGTGTGTAGGTTTAACTTTGTTAGAAACAGCTAAAGAGTTTTCCATAGTGGTTGTACCATTTAACACAGCCGCCAGTTTTTTAAGAGTACTTAATTTGTTCCATATCTTCACGGTTACTTGGTACTGCCAGTATTATTAATTCTAGCTATTTACTGTGGTTTTAATTTATATTTACCTGGTGATCAGTGACGTTGAGTGCCTTTTCATATGCCTGTAGGGCATTTTTGTCTTTCTACATCTGTTTTTCATATTTACCTAGTCAGGTTGTGCAGACTGTACACCTTGAGTGGTAAAATTTAGTGCGAGATAAAATCAAGACATGGGGTGCTACCTTGCTGCTCAGTGGTGACACCAAGAGCTGTGAGAATGGTTTGTCCTTAAGCTAAATTACAGCCCTTTGGGTTATTCATTGTATCTATTAGGGTGATACTAGCTGCCTTTAAACCCCTAAAACTTCAATGACTTAAGATAAAAATTACCTTTTTTTTTTTTTTTTTTTTTTTGCCAACCTTCACTGTCCAAGGAGGAAATTCCTGGTAGTTAGGTGGCCTCTCAAATATTTATGTAGGACCCAGGCTTCTTCCATCATATAGCTCTGTAATCTTTGATACATGGGTTCCAGGGTCTTTATGTTTCTCTTCAGCAAGTCAGGGAAAGGAAGAATGGGGACAGAGGAACGAGGACATGGGCACATGGAGGATTTTGATGGGTCCGGCAAGGAAATGGCATATACATCTCTTCTCATATTCCACTGTTTAGAACTCAGATGAATCTAACCATAAAGGAGGCTGGAAAAAGTAGCCTTATCTGTGTGCCCAAGAAGCTTGCAATTAGCCAGCAGTTTTCCAATAGTGATAAAATGTTATGTCTTCAGGAATAGTAAATAGATTTCTGTATTAAATTGAGTCAGGAAAAGACTAACTTCTTTGTTAGCTTCAAATAGCAATGAATCTGTATAAACTGCTAAGGAAGACACCTACCATTCTCTTTGTGTGGCCTGACAATGCTGTAGGAGTTGGAGAAGGGACTATTAGAAGTACAGATAATGATAACTTAATGAGTCCATTCTGTGATGGCTAAGATGCTTTGCTGAAAGATCTTTTCCATTATAATTTTATTTTTTAATATCTGATATATTTATAAAATAAATGTAGTTTAGAATAAGCTAATTACCTTATCTTTTATTAATATGTCAGGACATTGTGATTTTAAAACTTATTTTTTTTTATTTTAAAACTCAAAAGTGTTTAAGAGGTTTTTAGTGGCTTATTTGAAAATGACTTCTGATACTGTCCATGGGGAAATGCGAAGCTTGTTTCTGTGACACCATTCCTGAAAGTTCCTAAGATCCTCTTAATATGTTAGAGTTGCTAAGTCATTCCACTGTTTCTCTCTTTTTTTTATTTTTTTAAAGATTTTATTTATTCATTAGAGACAGGCAGAGATATAGAGAGAAACAGGCTCCCTGCGGAGAGTCTGATGCCCAGGACTCCGGGATCACACTCTGGGCCAAAGATGCTCAACCACTGAGCCACCCAGGTGTCACTCCATTGTTTCTTATCGTTAATAAATTTTGAATCAGGGCAGCCCTGGTGGCTCAGTGGTTTAGCGCCACCTTCAGCCAGGGGCATGATCCTGGAGACCCGGGATCGTGTCCCACATCAGGCTCCCTGCATAAAGCCTGCTTCTCCCTCTGCCTGTGTCTCTGTCTCTCTCTCCCTGTGTCTCTCATGAATAAATAAATAAATAAATAAAATCTTAAAAAAAATAAATTTTGAATCAGTTAGAGATGGATTGCCTTGAATCCTCTAAACCCTAGGTGAGCAGTCTGTAGCTCTTAAGAGTCCAGTGCATGTCACTGTTAGAGGGAGGAGGAAGAAGCAAACAAGGGGAAAAAAGAAGAAAGGGAACAGAACAAAAAGGAGCAGGAGTTGAGGTACACGTAGTAGAGCTTCCTAAATAGCCCTGTGTTTAAGATTTCTATGGGCAAAGCTTGATTTAGAGCTGTGCTGTACTTTAGTAACACAATGTGAGTCATATATGTAAACAATGTATCCCAAATATTTCAACATGTAATCAATATAAAAATGAATGAGATATATTTTACTTTTTTTTGTACTAAGTCTCTGAAATCAACTGCACATTTTATAATTACTTCACATCTAATTTTGTACGTGGTTTTCATTGGAAATACTTCAATAGTAGTTGAAGTAAAATATACATAGTACATAGTTATTCACATATCCAATATAGGTTCACATACCCAATTTGTGCCAAACATACTTAAAAGTTTTCCAATAACTAAAGCAAGTCTGTTTTAAAATTTAAATTTAGATTAATAAAATTAAAAATTTATATTCTCAGTTGCACTATGTTAGGAGTGTCCTATAGCGACATGTGGTCACTGGCTTCTGTATCAACAGTGCAGTTCTAGAATTCTAGACTGAATTTGAAATCTAGGCTCTAGGGAAAGCACAAACTTTTTTCTGGCATCAAGAAAGTACTCAAATATTTGTGGTTTGAAAATAATATCAAAACTATTTTCAATTAAGTGGAGTTGAAAGTGAGGCAAATTGAATAAGCTAATTTAATTGAACAGCTGGAGGGAAGCCAGGCTTCTTTTCCAAAACTCTGTTATTCCTAGTTAGCTTTCAAAGTGCAGCAATTTAGACCAGAGTGGCTACACTTTATTGGAGGATGCCTCTTTCCAACCCAATGGCTGGTAACTGGTCAAATTGCATATTAAATGCCACATAATGGATTAGGTAAACAACTATGGAAAAGTATTCAAGATACACTTTCTGTAATCCACTACTTTGGGTTTGGAGTATACAAATCAAAGGAAAATGTATGTAGTCAAAATAATTTTAAGACTGCAAATATGAAAAATAATCATATATCCCATTCCGTGTCACTCTGCAGAGGAAAATACTTTGTTGTTAATTTACAAAAAGAAAAAAAAATCTAACCTGGAAAAATTTCCTCAATGTTAGAAAAGGACCTTTATATTCTTTGAAAAATGGGAATATTATATTCTAATATGCATATGTTTTGTCCACTAATTACCCAAATTGTACTAGTTCAGTGCTCTACCAAAGATGCATTTCTTACAAAGCCTTCCTTGATTACCATAGTTGAGGTAACTTTCTTCTTCCCTTGAATTCCTTTCTCATGAGAATCAAGTATTTTGTCATCCAAATACTGATTTACGGAGTTGTGAATTGTTTCCATTTGACTAATAAGTTTTATCATGTGTAGCAATCCAACTCAGTGTTTTAATAAGTAGCAGTTGCTCAACATTAGCTTGAGTACACAGAAAATGAAAAGAATCTGGGAATTCTGGCTAATAAACTTCTTAGGAACCTCTGACTGTTGCCATGCTTTGTGTTCATATTACTTTCCTGCATTCTACGTGACTGATCCACAGAAGCTCAGCTGAGCTGCCATGTGCCAGAGTACTGGATTAAACAAGCCAAAATAAAAGTGACAGTCAAGTTTTATTGGAGTTCGATTTGCCAACATATAGTATAACACTGTAACACCCAGTGCTCATCCCATCAAGTGCCCCCCTCAGTGCCCATCACCCAGTCACCCATCCGCCTGCCCACCTCCCCTTCCACTACCCCTTGTTTCCCAGTTAGGAGTCTCGTGTTTTGTCATCCTCTCTAATTTTTCCCACTCATTTTCTCTCCTTTTGCTTATGATTCCTTTCACTATTTATTGTATTCCCCATATGAGTGAAACCATATGTTTGTCCTTTTCCCATTGACTTACTTCACTCAACATAATACCCTCCAGTTCTATCCACTATAGTCAAGTTCTCAGTTACTTACTGTAATTGTATAAACAGTCTACACCAGAGAAAGATTCCCCGGCTACACTTCTCCCTATGAATTGGCCCACTAATTGGAGGTCATTAGCATCCGCATGAATATGAGGTGTTGGCTCACTGTTGAGTAAGCCACAAAAAGGCTTCTCCAGATTTACAGACTACAGTGGAAGGAAGAGGAAAAGGGAGGATTAGGAGTGGGAAAGTATTAAGTCAAATGGAAAAGTATTAAGTCTTTCAGCTTTCCCCCATATGGAGACCTCCAAATGGAGTCACCTAGGCCTGAGTCTTTCATTGCAGCAACTTGGAGAAATTGCAGTGGGCTGGCTTTACACCATATCTGAGTGGAGAGGACAGCTTTCTCCTGTGAGCCCTGCCAGGTAAAGTGTTTGTAATTGCCTTTGGTCAGTCCTGAAATGTCATAGAAGTTTTGTTTTGTTTTTTTAAATTTGGACAGAAGCTGGACTCCTCAAGTACAAAATCACTGCTGAAGACTTGAAATTACTTTGATCTATTGCAGGATGTACATTTTCCTAGGTTTTAGTATCTTTGAAATCAGGATGCATTTTATAGTTGATGTCAGCCAGATAACAGTTGGGATCTAATTGTGTGAAACCTTTCATCGACACTTTTGGGTAGAATCAAAAGTACCAGCATCATAAAGTCTTTGGTTTCAGTGTCTTTTCCCCCTTGTATATTATTGCCTCCTGTATTGTAGATTAATTGATTGTATAAGCATGGGTTTATTTCTGGACCTTCTTTTCCATTCGATTAATCTTTATGTCATTTTTTTGTGCCAGTACCATCTTGTTTTTATTACCACAGCCTTGTAGTATATCTTGAAATCTGGGATTGTGATACCTTCAGTTTTGTTCTTTTTTCTCAAGATCTCTTAGACTATTTGGGGATTTTTGTGATTCCTTATAAATTTTAGTTACTATTTTTTGTTCTGTGAAAAAAGCTGCTGGTATTTTGATAGAGATTGCATTGAATCTGTAGATCGCTTTGGGTAATGTGGACATTTTAACAATAGTAGTCCTTCCAATCCATGAGCATGAATATCTTTCCATTTGTTAGTGTCATCTTTAATTTCTTTCATTAGTGTTTTATATTTTTCAGAGTACAAGTCTTTCACCCCCTTGGTTAAGTTTATTCCTAGGCATTTTATTCTTTTTGATGCAGCTATAAATGGAATTGTTTGAAGAGATGTGGTATCTTTTTATATTGTCTTATCTTCATAAACTACCTATATCAGGTCATGAATTTGGCATTTTATGTCTTTGGCATCTACATTTTAGACCTTCCTAACATGTTCTGATGAGATAGATTTTAAATATAGGGTATAGATTAAGAAGGGCATATAATGGGAAATTCTCAAGCAGAGAGGCTAATATCTGAATGATTGTTCTTTTTTCTTTTTTTTAAAGATTTTATTTATTTATGAGAGAGAGAGAGAGAGAGAGAGAGAGAGAGAGAGAGAAAGAGAAGCAGAGACATAGGCAGAGGGAGAAGCAGGCTCCATGCAGTGAGCCTGATGTGGGACCTGATCCCTGGTCTCCAGGATCATGCCCTGGGCTGAAGGCGACACTAAACCTCTGAGCCACCCGAGCTGCCCTGAATGATTGTTCTTTAATGGTTGTTACCACATATTTAAGTATGAGAGCTTCCCATAATTGAGTAAAGTATTTCTTAGCTACCTGAGAAGAGTAAGTTTTCTGATATTTTTTTCTGACAAAAGGCCTTTAGATCCTATAAAGGTCACCCATAGACTAAAAACCCCCTATCAAATTTATGTTGTTTTTTTTCCCCTCACTGAGGTTTATTTACCTTTTGTAGGGATTGTTTGAACCTAAGTATGCCAGCCTTTTCTGGAAATAACTTGAAATCTTGCTTAGTACTTTTGGGAAATATGACATGACTGAAAATGAAACTTGCCCCATTTGGTAGCTCATGATCCTGAGGGAGTTGTAAAGATACTACACACATGAAGTGATATCTCTTTGTACTGTGTCAGGATTGCTGTGAGCTGTTGCATAAGTTTTGCCAGGATAGAATAAATGAATTAAACCATGGAATGTTCTATGAGCTTTTGTAGGATCACTTCGAGCCATTTCCTAAAATCTGACTGCTAAAGCTGTCCCAAAATAAGGTCTAGGGATAAGATTCTGATGATATCTTAGTGGGATCCTTCTTCACTCTGATTTGTCTTCCGTGCAGTATAGAAACCAAATCCAGGGCAGCGGTTTAGCGCCACCTTCAGCCCAGGGGCTGATCCTGGAGCCTGCTTATCCCTCTGCCTGTGTCTCTGCTTCTCTCTCTCTCTCTCCCCTCTGTGTGTGTGTCTCATGGATAAATAAGTAAAATATTAAAGAAAAAAAAAAAAAGAAACCAAATCCAAATGGGAGATAGGAACAGGGAACCAAGGAATCTTAAGGGACCATTTAAGGAATGTCCTAAGCCAGGGCCCTTTAACAAGGAGATCAAATCCTGAGACAATGGCTCTGACAGCCTCAGCTGCCTTGGACTGAACTCAGGCATTGGAATCTCATTGGAACAAAATGGACTTTGTCTTCCCTTTTTCTGTTACCTCCACTTTGCTTTTCTTGTATATTTCACCATTCCTACATTCCCCTTAGCCCTGCCTTATTCTGATATACACCCTTGCTTAAGAACTACTGGCCAACTCTGGAAAACGGTATGGAGGTTCCTCAAAAAGTTATACAAATAGAGCTAACCTGTGACCCAGTAATTGCACTACTATTTGCCCAAAGATACAAATATAGTAACCTGAAGGGGCACCTGCAACTCCAATATTTATAGCAGCAATGTCCATGATAGCCAACCTATGGAAAAAGCTGAGATGTCCATTGACAGATGAATGGATAAAGAAAATGTGGTGGAATGGAATGGAATATTACTCAGCCATCAAAAAAAGAAATCTTGCCATTTGCAATGACGTGGTTGGAACTAGAGGATCTTATGGTCAGCAAAATAAGAGAAAGACAATTATATGATTTCACTCCTATGTAGAATTTAAGAAACAACAGTTATGTAGGGGAGGAAAAAGTAAAACAAGATGAAATCAGAGAGGGAGACAAACCATAAGAGATACTTAAGCATAAGAAACAAACAGGGTTGCTAGAGGAGACGGGGTGGGGGAATGGGGTAACTGGACAATGGACATTAAGGAGGGCATGTGATGTAATCAGCCCTGGGTTAAGTAAGTAAGTAAAAAAAAAAATACTGGACAGGACTCCTGGGTGGCTCAGTTGGTTAAACATCTGTCTTCAGCTCAGGTCATGTTCCCAGGGTCCTAGGTTTGAGCACTGCCTCAGGCTCCCCACTCAGCGGGGAACTTGCTTCCTCTCCCTCTACCCCATTCATGCTTTCTCTTTTTCTCTCTCAAATAAAATTTAAAAAAGAAGAACTACTGTCCAGACCTACTTTAGAAAGAAATACTATGTGTAGATAGATGTTTACTAATAACTTTCCTACTTGAAATCTGTTTTAGTTACTACTGCCTAATAAATTACCTCCAGGGCAGCCCAGGTGGCTCAGCGGTTCAGTGCTGCCTTCAGCCCAGGATGTGATCCTGGAGACCCAGGATTGAGTCCCACGTCGGGCTCCCTGTATGGAGCTTCTCCCTCTGCCTGTGTCTCTGCCTCTCTCTCTCTCTCTCAATCTGAATAAATAAATAAATCTTAAAAAAAATAAATTACCTCCAATTGAGTGCCATAAAGCCACATTATTTCACTGTTTCAGTGAGTTGAGAATCTGTGGCTTAGCTAAGGCCTCTTTCTGGGTGTTTAACAAAGCTGTAGTCAAGGTGTTGGCTGGGATTTAGTCATCTCAGGACTTGACTGGGCAAAGATCTGCTACAAAGCTAGCTCAAATTATTGTTCACAAGATTTAGTTCCTCTCAGATTGTTGGCCTGAAGGCCTCCATTTCTCACAACCTGTTGATCAAAGGCTGCCCTGTGAGTTCTTTGCCATGTGTGCATCTCTGTAGCACAGTTTACAACATAGCTGCTGGCTTCTTTAGGACAAGTGAAGGAGCAAGAGAATGTGGGTAAGAAGTTAAAAACCTGATCTCAAAAGTGACATCCCATCACCTGTACTGTTCTCTATTAATTAGAAATGAGCTACTAGTTCCAACCTGAACTCAACAGAGCATTACAGAGAGTGTGAATAACAAAAGGCAAGATCAGTGGGAGACCTTTTAGAAGCTGTGTACCACAGAATATATATTATTACATAATGATATAAAATTGAAAACAAGTATGGATAGGAATCCTGTTCTATACTCTTGAATGTAATATCACAAATTAAAAATTCATTTTGAATCTTTCATTTATCTGATTGGACTAATAGGAACCTTATCTCAGTCATTATTGGGGATCACTCTCACCCAACACATAAACTTAGAGTTGGCTGAGATTCTAGGTCATGAACACCACCAAAGCCCTGGCAGGCCCTTCACATCAAGCTCATAGAGCCTACAAATTCTTTTTTTTTTTTTTTTGAGCCTACAAATTCTTAATCTATCCTCAGTCTGAGGATGGGTAGGAGCTTTCTTACCCTTACTCTCTGCTGCTCATCGAGGCACTCCCTCTCCTTTCCCTGAAGTACCTTTTCTATTAATCTGGGCTCTCCCTAAAGACGAAGAGTCCTGTACTTCAGGTGGACATTTCTAGTTTGTTGACATTCTTAAGTCAAAGAAATAACAGTGGTCCTGGTTTCTTGCCAGTAATAGGGAAGAATGGAAAGATAAGAGAGTGGAATATTAACATCTCAAAACTGTCCTGTTGGATGACATATAAAAAGAAAAACTCCTTAGACATGATTTAAATATTTTTCACGAAGCTGTTCATATAATTATTAAAGTTTCCATTTGATAGCCCCAATATCTGAGTTATATGTTAGTTTGATTCTGCTAACTATATCTTGACACATTTTGCTCAAATTCCAGTTATGTGTAGAGACTCAGGTAAATACTTTTTATATCTGAAAATAGACTTACTTGTTCTGGCAGGCCATCAATGTTTCTTGAGTACTGGGTGAAAGGATTTCCTGCCCTCTTCCATATTATTTCACTGTTTCAGTGAGTTGAGAATCTGTGTGTGGCTTGTGTAGCAAGACATTAACCCCAATTTAGGGACTTTTTAGCAAAATCCAGAGGGTTTGCTTTTATTCCTCCTACAGAGGCAGTGGAGTTCTGTCTGTGCCCTAGTGGTGAGAGTGTTCTTTGTCCTATGATGCCGGTAACTGAGGATACCTTGCCATTTGCTTCACTGAGGAGGGGTTGGGTGTGTGTGAGATCAGTTTCCTGCCCCATCCCCAGTCTTTCTTGTGAATACTCAGTGGAGCACTCTCTGATAAA